ATTTATACCTCCACTGTCTTGCACTGTGCTAGAAGCAGTAACATTCGACACCTGACAGGACAGAAACGCATGAGAGAACATCGCGATCGGGAACGCTCTGTGCCACCATGCAACCTTTCCGCTGGTCAGGAACTAATGACCCACGCAAAAAACAATTAGCGACCGACCGATAAACGGTCGGCTTGGAAGTAAACCCAAATTTGACGTTCACCGGAACACTTCGAACATATCAGCCACTCTCTTGTTTTTATAGTAACGCACCAGGCCTTCTCAACAAGCTGATAGAACTTTGACTACGTCATGCTACTATGTGGGACCTTACCATGGTAACCGAGATATGGTTGAATGAAGTGATCACGGACACCGGAATGTTCGTGCTGCACAGTGATTGGCCGAATAGAGGAGGCGGTATACTACTCCGTTACTGCAATAACCTACTTCTTGATCTAATTGATGAACCAGATTCTCGACTCCCCCTGTCTTGTCTTCACCTAAAACATAGTCACACATGTTTAATGGGCATCGTGTGTTGCTCTCCGTCGTCTACTTCAGAAATGGACAATCGCCTAGCTTCCACTATGAAAACTATCCTCGCACATGCATACAGTCACATCCTTCTGGTTGGCGACTTCAATCTTCACGCCCTAGAAACCCAAGCTTCTCTCAATGAATGAGTGCGTTCGCAGCACCATCTCTGACCCTATCGATGTTTAGCGCGAAGTGCCACACGGCTCAGTACTTGGTCCACGCCTGTTACTTATTTACATACTCAATCTTGCAGCATTGATCACTTCTAATTTCTAACTCTTCGTTGATCATCTCAAGATATGGCAGGCCATTAAATAAAACAGAGACCACGTAGCACTTCAGGTTGACCTGGATAGGGTATATGATTGGGCGATTTAGAATCTGCTTCATTTCAACGCCACCAAGTTTAAGACACTGAGCATACGCCATCAATCCACTTGCGAGTACACACTGGGGATCATGCTTTGCAGAGTGCTACTACTGAATGCGATTTAGGTGTCATAGTACCTGAAGATCTTGGCCGTTCACATCAGCCCGAGATGACGTTCAAAAAGCCAACCAACACCTTGGGCTTTTGCGGACAGTGTTCGGGTGTTTTGACCCTTCAGTCTTTTCTAAGATGCTCAATGCTTACATTATTGAGCCCAATTCAGAATATGCTCTTCACGTCTGGCAGAAGCACGACCCCACAACACTTCAATTGCCACAACTGACGGCGACCAAGAACATCGGTAGTCTGTTACATCTCCCTTACCAACTGAGATTGAAAACCCTAGGGATCTACAGTGGACAATATCGACGCCTGTGTGACGATTTGATAATGACATATTTTATCCTAAGGAATCGAAACCAAGCTTGTAGTCTTCTGAAGCTGAATCATTATACTACTCTGAGTGGTCACTTGCTAGGGCTGGCCACACAGTATAGCCTATTTGGATCGTCGCCGGAATTTCTTTTTCACTTCGCGTGTGCCAACCATAGAACGCCCTCCCCACTTACCTTGTTCCTTCTTCCACACTGACGGTATTCAAAAAACGTCTAGATGCACTCATACATTCACATCACGCCATTTAATCCGCTATAGCCGGACGTCAACCTAGCACTACGAATCAAGGTGCGCATTGTCACTTTCAACACATAATTGGTTAAACGTAACTATTGGATTTACGTATCCCATCGACCCAGGAAAGCTGCACACGATTGAGCGTTGTCATTTCCCTTAACAATTTTCTTCTCACATAGTATGTAAACTAGAACCGCACCCCATATTGTTATGTGTGCACAGATTCAATTTCCATTTCAAACTATTGTTATACAGTATTGCAGTTAACTCTCGTCGATTTAGCTGATGATTCACTTATCCGTTGATCTACTTCTCATTCTAACCACCCTACGGGACTTGTCAAGTATCATCATTTTACCCGTGATAAATCATTGTTCATGTACAAACACATATATCTCAAAACACCTACATCTACATAAATGGCCTACTGTTTCCTTTGTGCGAGCCGCAGGTTTTCTCGCAGAGCTACCAGTTGAATATATCCAATCAATTGGTCTTTTCAGTTCTATCAAGATGCTGATTTTCGCGACAACCCATTCATGGTAAGAAGTTGATTAGTACAGTTACTTTCTCAGAGAGCTCCCGGTGTCTTTGGGAATACTGCGTTATGTGTACATACGGAATTCGGTGCTGTGCCAAACAGTCCAATTCCCTACCAATGAGTGTCGGCGTGGAGGGTTTCGGTGTGGCTCTCTCCTATCCCTGCACTTCACGACCGACGGTTTCGTTTTTGTTTAGACTCATCAGGTAGAGATAGCTGAGCTAGGAGTGGAACTCGGTGCATAGTGCTTAACGGCTATCGCCATGATCACTAGGCCATTGAGCTCCGCGAGCAGCGTTTGACACAGCGGTTAGAAGTAGATTTTCGGGTTTTTCGGAGCACCCGCTGTGTGTTTTAGATTTCGACACGTGGCGTGATAATTCAAAAAGACGGTCTGTTTTGTAAGTCGCTAAGGTTCCTGACTTCTTTATATTTCTTGTTGTCAAAATCCAGATGAGAAACTTAGAATTAGTTACAAATTTCCGTCCTTGCCTCATGGTAGTGCTAAGTTCTAGGTCAATCTGTTGGAGATCTTCAGAATAAAGGCTGTCTTTATAGCTTGGAACAGCCTCATCAATGTGTAGCACCATCTTGGAGTACAAATTCCTCTGCGCATCCTCAAGCCCTGGATTTGTGGAACGTTCCAGTGTAGTGTACTCATTATCACTTAACCAGGATGTACGGGTGCACCAGATGTTGCGACGATGTGCGCTCTGGCCTTACTTGGTTGTGCGTCTTATCTACAGGAATAAAACTCCAGTGGTCGCTTTTATTAATGGACTGTAGAAGGTCTAGTTCCGAGACATCGGATACTTCCGGTATGAGCTCAAATGCAAGTATGTGTGGAATCTGGCCCGTAAAAAGCCATGTGGGTGTTGCTCTTAACTAGAGATTCCTTTTGAGAACAGTGTCAATGGACTCTAGAGAGATGTGGCAGTAAACCAGGCCCCAGTTGACATCCGGAGCATTGAAGTCACCCACTGTAAGACAATCTCTGCGGTTTCCATGCGTTTTGATTGCGTCTAGCATCCCGGTACCATGACCGCACGGGGTTTCGTATACTGCACCGATAATATGCCATTTGTAGCCGTTATTGATCCGGCATCAGAGCATCTCTGCACCACCACTAGCATCACTTATACCTTCTGCGAGGTGAGCCGTAAATTTATCTCCGATAGAAAACTGTGCTGCCGTAGATAAGAGTTGATATCCTGGAACGTGTACCTTAGGATCAGAGATATCTGGACTGAGCCGACGTTCGGTGAAAACCTATAAGTCCAGGAAGAGCTGCGAGACAAAAGCGTGTGTCTTTTCCAATTTGTTTCGAGGCTTCAAACATTTGCAGACATCACTCGCAGTTCATGCGGGCAGAACAAATATTGTCCGCCAGTAGGACCCCCTGGCTTTCTATCTTACCTAAAATCCACTACGTGTAAGTTAGTTTCGCCGTTTATTCTACGGATCCGGAGTTTGTCGATGGTGCTTTTCATTATTGTTCGCTCTTTTGGGAGAGTGTTATCTAGACATCGACTATTCCACCCTGGGAACGCGTACTCCATTCGAAGATGCGACTGCATTTATCTACATCTTAACAAAAGACCTTGAGAGGACGAAATTTAAAAGGGCCTTCTGGCTTTCTGCTAAGGTGTAACGCAGAGAAAATAATTCCCTTGTTTTTCACTGTCCAACTGAGGAATCATGCGCTTTAGAGGGATTTCTACGTCCTTTGTTTCCCGTCGTCTCCTTATTAAACTCGGAAGTATTTACGATGACTGGACACCGTTTACGAGAGAGAAGCATATTTCCCACTACAATAGGTGTTTAATAGTCGTGGTTGTACATAAGCTGAGGTACTGCCAGGTCACCCAAATTTGGACAGGAGAACGATTATGAGCACAACTCTAAGGACACCACAGATCTTCAAACCTTCCTTCACTTCTCACGCCAGTCCAATCCTTCTATTTGGCCTTCCAGCTGTGCTGAGGCTTATTAAACTTGTCGTACTTTGTATCGGGCCAACTGTTGCTGATGGAGACGGAATCTATCAGTGATTATCTGTTTCACTTTTCCTCTGAGCTGTGGGCAACAGTAAAGTGATTATTTTGAAATACTGCAAATGGCTATACGTGATGTGACTTAACTCCTGTGTAACCTGCATGGTTTTGTGCGCTTAGTGATAATGTGCGAACGGTGGCAAAAACGTAGTGTTCCATTTTGCACGAAATTGAGTGTTTGCCTGATTGTAACTCCTACCTGACACTGACTGTATGATCTGTAGCCATTGGTCAAAGCGAGATAAATAGTAATCAGTTTTGTCACATGACCTCCTGGTAATGCTTGATGCACTACTCTGATCGTCATTGATAACCGTGTCCAAACGTAACATGTTCCTGTGTGCTTTCAGAATATAACTGATGCTTCAACCCATATGTATTGCTGACATTTTGGTAACGGGACTCCTGGTCGTCGCTTACAATCATCATGCTCTTACTTGCTGCATCGTTGCAACCAGCACGTTGCCGCTGTTGCCTTTAGTGAAGCGTCGCAGTCATCTTTCTACTTGCGTCTCAGTTATCGGTTTATAGCCAAGTATAGGTGATCCTTTAACCCAACTTTACTTGTACTAGATTCCACATCATCTTCTATTCCTCCCTGGGTATCATATCCCGTTTATCGGACTGAGTATTGCACAGCGGGTGCCATCTGTGCTTCCCTTGGCACATTTGCCCAGTTATCCCTCGACCGGTTTGTGACTTCGCAGTCGGTGTTATCCATGCAATCGATTTAACCGTTGTCGGCTCTTTCACTTGCCTATTTTCTTGTTGATTTTTTTGGTTTACTTAATGTGCTTTGATATTCCTTTTTCAGGCGGAGGAGATGGAGTGGAAAGATGCTAGAATGCGATGTCTCGGAGAACTTTTTGCAGCCGCCAAGGTGAATTGCACTGCTTGTACACATACTTTGTCTTTTCCGCACCTTCCATTTACCTATTCCTGTACAACACTTTTGAAGTCAACTTAGATTGATTGTAAGTTCGTGCACCGCCTAATCACCTCTGGTTCGCGTGGTACACATACACTGATTTCGTGTCTACCTTCAACCGGAATTTCTTTCACTAGACTCGCAATTTAGTTGCTGTGCGGCACGAATTAGCATCGTTCGTCGCATATTACTACCACCCAAAATATATGCATGCCATCAAGTGCCTTTTAGAAACAATTACTCTTCTTGAAATAACGCAAGTAAAAACAGCAAGTCAGCGAACTTGCCGGGATCATTTTAAATAGGTACGTCTGGTTATATCCAACAGATGCATGTTATTCTTTATGCCAAGTAAAAACTTAAGGAGTATGGACTGTACATGACAAGTGATCGGCACTCGAAGTGTCCAAAACAAACTTATGCGTGGCGTGACGCAAAGAGAGGTAATCGACTTTGGCGCTTTTGAGTACTCCAGTCTGAACGGCACAGTAATGTGGGATATTAAAGATCTGCCTAAGATTTCTAAGTATTTATTATCACGTAGACTGATAATAGTCCTGTATACTTCAACAAATTTTTTAACTTCCGGTTGCTATCCGATGTTTGTAACCGCCCAAGAATTTGGTGTCCATTTTCCGTCGGAAGAATGACACCTTTGACTTCGGTTCCGTATGATTACTTGAATCTGTCAGCAGAAGCTTTTCCCATTAGATGTAATGTCACTGCGCCATTGTTACTGTCGAAGATAAATAAATGGGTTTATTTTCCGACAGACAGGACACATTCCTGAGTATGCGACAGTCAGATATGCACAGAAACAGTACGCATGTTTTTTGCTCTTCTCAAGACATCACAGTAGTGCTGCTTTATTGGTACTAATACAGAGACATTTTTCGCGATTTTCACACATTCGGTCCAATTATAGGCCAACTCATTCATCTACTTCATACCACGCTGAACTTATCGAAATTGTTACACCCTTCAGATCGTCAAGCTTTATGCCTGGGAGAAAGCGTTTCAAACGAAAGCGAATTCTCTACGAGATCAAGAACTGAAACGCTTGTTTCGTGTCACTATGGGCTGGATTGTTGGAGAAATGGTGTGGAGTATCGCACCCGTACTGATTTTACTCTCGACTTTCATTGCTTTCTGTTGGGAGCTTATCTTTTGGGATGGGGACGGGCCCCACGCGAGTAATTCCTCCGTTCCGAGAATGTTGAATTCCGAACGTATCTTCGTCAGTGTCAGTCTGTTCAATTTGCTTCGTATTCCTCTTATCTTGCTCCCCTGGAGTCTTTCCGCTGCTGCCATGGCAAGTGATTCTTTGCATAGCCTTCTCTATCCCTTCAGCCTCATCACCGTTAGACCTTAGTTTTAATAGACACACCTTTCTCTTCATAATCATGTGAAGAGCCACCATACGTCCGTCTTACTTTGGATTTTTGTTATCTGACAGCCCCCTCTAACTCTATATTTCATCCACCGCTGTGAACAACATTTAGCTCGGCACTATGCACCGGTACTAATCACGTTTAGCACTCCTTCTCCTCCATGATTATGGAGCAGACGTAGAACAGAGCTATTTACAGTCTTTTTCGTCACTATTCCTGCGGGTATCCAATAAGCGCATGCGTCCACCTCGATAGAAATAGAGATTGGATGGCTTCATTTTCTCTGTATCAGTGCCACATCAATATGGAGGATTAATGTGGCTGTACACTGAGCCGGATCAGTGACAGCGTCGACAAGACGAAACGTCACGAAAAATCCAAAGTATTCTTTATCTGAGGCTGCACCTCCGCCTGGCGATTCCAGTCACACATTGGGTACGTATGCTTAACCACACCTTTTCGATTAAATTCTTAAAACGGTAATCACTGTCTCATTCCAATCAGTCTCTGTTTCCAAAACTTCTGAACGAAAGCATGTTTTAACACATGCTCCGATTTGCTTCCGCTTCTTGACAGTAAACCAGTGTCTGTAAAGATTAGACGCTCAGTCTATTGTCACTTCCTTGCGCCCATCGTACCTCACAACTGCGGACACGCCTGTGTTACTTAACACGAGCAGTCATCCATAGTCAGCTTCAGTCGAAACCTTGGTTGCATCTGGCACAATAAGATAGAAATGATCAAATCCCAGTGCCATAAGAGAATATAACTACTGCTGGTAACATTTATACGCGATTATTAAGCACAGATATTTCCCACCTTGTTGAAACCTGCTTGAGCATCTATTTTGCGTCCGAAATTCCGATGGTATTCTCCCGTCACCGCCAATGTAACCGCCAATCGAAGTAACTTCATCGGCTGTCTCCAATTCCTCATTTGCATCTTAGTTTAACAGACAAGCCGCTCTTATCATATCATGCATCCAAGGATGAAGCCACACGGCCAGTTCGGATACATGTTGCTGTGTCGGTTCACTGTTGTCAGTCGGCATGATGTCGTTTCCCCGTCTTTCTAGCTTAAATCCAATGATTGCAACGTGAGAATCTATTTGTGAACACTCTAGGACGGAGTATAAAACAAGCTGTAACATTCATAGGCAACTTGTGTAAGCCTGAACGAACGTCCTCACTAGATGGCACAAGCCGATTCCAAATAAGCTACGTCTCCGCTTACTCACATTCACGCAGACGATCGTCACATGCTTCGCCATGTCACCGTCATCAACGGCAACACGTCAGCCATTTTTACTGGCTCTTCGCTGCTGTACAACCACAGTGACCTGCTGATCGAAAATTAATAGCGTAAAGCCTTAATGTTCCAAACAAACCCACAGGGTCAAGGCGGCTACACCTTGTCAACAGCATACCGTCACAAACAGTTGGCTATCGTTCAAGTTAAAGCGACATTGGCCAGACAACTTCATTGCGGCTTTCCCTGCCACGCGTCCTAACCAGCCATTAGCCCGCAGACAACACTAAACAAACTTCATGCAGGACAAGGGACAACAGAAACACCACTGCGAGTTACTTCCTGCAACTTCTCATACCAGACACATTGCATAACATGTAGACTCCATTCTGGAATGCGAGACGGGCCAACGGCAGCCAGTTTTTTAGTCAGTAACTTCGTTTCCTACTGCCAACTTAACTTTTGCGCACTTCGAGCCTACATCTGGCAAACAAAGCGAGGCCCTCCTCGGTAAGCGTTGGCCGCACATACGTGGTAGTTGCCAAATCCACGCCAACGCCACTTATTCAATGTTATCAGTTGTTCTAAGGAAATGGCATGATTATCAATGTCTAGCACCTGCACACGGACATCGCCGTTACGTATACCCTGGTGTCACCTAACTCTATCCATGACCAATTACTTGAAGGTGCCTCAGATCCTTAGACTGAATTACAAATCTCACTCAAATTGAGTAACACTACCCTTACTGTAGCCTTGTAAACACAGCCTTTCAAACAGAGGAGAACTCCCTTCTGACGCCACAAATGTCAAGAAGGCAGTCCTAGCTTTTCAATGCGCGAACTGACCTTAGTGGTTATGCACCCATCGTTGCTTATAAAGCGAGTACCTCTCTATCAAAGTTCAGACGGTCAGCAAGTGGCTGATGGCTTTGTAACAACACTGCACTTTATTAGTGCAAAGCGCATGCCAAATGATGAGACTACTCTAGTGGGGTATCCGGGGTTGAATGGGCCACCCCATCACCATTAAACAGCAAGACAGTATTGTCCACGTAATCAAGACTAACTAGCTTTTCATCTGGTGACATCAGCACCTGCGTCGTGAGATTCCGCAAGAGAACGCTTCACGATGTAGTCCACATCGAAGTCGAGCAAAATGATTCTCGCCCAAACGTTGGCATTCTAAACACCACCATTTTCTAGGAGGGAGACATCCCGACGACGCCACAAGTGCTGCAGGTTGACAAACGCGGAACGAGCTTTGGGGATGTGAAGGGAAACTTCCTTTCCACCAGCAGACGCACAGCTGCCCAGGTAGACAAAGCTATCCACTTGTTCGAGCTGTATAGTTACAATAGTGAGCACGGGGACGGATGCGTGCTAATCCTGTAGCAGTACTTTACACTTTGATGAGGCAAAGCACATTCCGTATCAAGATGCCTCAATCGCCAAACGGTCTAGAATGCTTTGCATGCTCTGTGAGTGGTTACCAAATTGGGCGATCTCATCGACAGTACGTCTTCGATTTCAAAATTGTATAAGAACGAGGACATAGGACAACCCTGTCGCACACCGCTATTGACAGCGAAGGGCTAGGAAATCTTGTCGTGGACCCTAACTCTGCCGGAGGCATAATGGTAAAATGCGCGTAGATTACCATTTCGCTTCGTTGGGACCCCATTTTTTCTCAAGTAAGGCCGTAAAGTGGGTTGTTCAACCGAATCAAACCCAGTCCGTATATTTAGGGATGCCACGATGGTGGGGCTGTGTTCGGGTAGTTGGCGAAACGTGACGATTTGATCTACACATCCACGGTCTTGACGGGAAGCAGCTTGTTATTAACGGCAATATGATTCACGTATTGGGGATAGCCTGCGAAGATGACTGGTTACCAATAGCTTGAGGGCAACCGAAATGAGATCAAGCCTTTGACAAACTGTACAGCAAAAACAAGGTGCTCTTGCTATTCTTCACCACCTGTGGCGCCGGTGCGACATCACAGTCACTCTAAAGATATAGTCTACAATGCAACCATCCGCTCAACCTTCTTTTACCTTTGCTAAATCTAACACACCCGTTCGATGGGCTCAAAGTGGCTAGTTACTTTCGACCGTCAGTGTCTTTGCAGTTCGACTTATTTCTGGGGTGAACACCATGTGAGCAATGAGCGGGTTTCTGCTCCGTATGCACGCGTCTAGTCCAGACAACCCTGTTTGGTTTTGTCCGGGACCAGCCTGTGCTTTTTTCACATTAGGTCGAGTCAAGCCTTCTTCGTCGGCTCGGCTCACTTAACTTTAGTCAACTCACCTCGGTGTCCACTTATTGGGATCCTGTCCGTTTACACCCGTGGGTCACCTTCACCCAAACGACTAGCTGCCATCACACTCTGATAGAGTTACTTAGCTATGTTTTTAATCCCTTCACTTACTAACTGGACAAATGTTTTACCCCGTTTTCGCGCAAATTTGAGCGTAGTAGGCAGTGGACAAGGATTAATCACCGTCTGATTGCTTCTAGTACTTTAGCTGCATCCAAGCATGGGACATCGCCAAATGAAGCTTATGAAGTTGTCATCTATATGCTTCCTTTCTTGGTTTTCGTTCAGGGGAACCTGGATAGCATATTCGCGTTCATTTTCTCCGAAAGTGATGCTGTCTCTAATCAGCTATTGTCCGGTACACAACTATATCAAGCGTTCATCACTGCTTGTTCCGTGGGAATGCGTCCAGAACCTTACGCGTAGTCTAGATTTTGAGGAACGTAGGAGCCGCTACTGCTCATTCATGCCTGTTGTGTCGCCAGAGAACGCCTTCGCCGCACCACCGCAAGAAACACTCCAAAAACGTGCCGAGAAGGAATCGTATGCATTGAATAATGCCTGGTTAAATAGTTCCAAGAATGGGCTGAAGGGAAACTACTAAAAGACATACAAGCCAACCAAATTGCTGAAAACATGCAAGCAAAATGAAGCCAATGAAGAGTGATCAATAATGGAACGAATAAGGGGCAAGCAACGAACGGAAAGAGAGTGCGTTAGCAGTGCAATGAAACTGCGATCCGAGAGCAGTAACAATGACTACAATCAGCCAATGCAATTACCGGAAAGGTGTGTTTAAACAAATGTCAGTAACATCGTTAGCGGAAAGAAACCAATCGACAATTAAGAATGTTTTCCATAAATTGTATATTCGACAACTGTCCCCCTAGCAATGGTTGGGATAAATGCTGGTACACTATGCCATGTTTTTTGTATTTTTGACGGAGCGCATCAGCGTCCACACTAGGGATGCAGTTGCTTTGAGAACTGATGGTGCTTTGGTCTGCTGTCTAGTTCTCTGGACAATTTGTGCACGTTTTAGTGGTCACGGAATATCTGTCAGGCTTCAAGGATGAATGTTTTATGCCAAACTGGCTCCTAATTCCACTCGCTATGTTGCATCAGCATCAATCGGCCACTGGAGCTATGTTATATCTACGTGAATTTCGCGCTCAGTCACTGTCCCCTTCGCTTTATTTACTGTAGCTGGTAGTGCGACTATCGTTGTATCATGACGTCGTTGTCTTCGTAGACACCGTTACACATCCCGCTCTTGTTGGCTCTTTCCCTACGACAGTTCATTGGTGTTTACTTTATGCAGTACTGCCAAACCTTCACTTCACTTGTTTATCATACAGCCTCAATGGAGTGTCCATGCTCGTCACTGTCTGTCGCTATGTTCCAGCGTCGCACATGGTTGGATCGCACTTCACTGCCGTCTGTTACCTTATGTGTATGAGATGTGTGTGCCCCATTCTGTGATCGATGTTGTATTCCTGATGCTTCTACACCGCAGTTGATCTAAAGCAACTTACACTTAAACTAGGTCTTTTTAAGCTGGATAAATTTCATTTCACTTTAATTAGCTTGTTCTGCCTACCTAAATAATCTTCTATTAACTTGCACACAATGCCTACGCTAATTGTGGTTCTCTTCGTTAACTTTATTGCCTTTGTAGCATTTTTGCATAACTTGTGGACATTTAGTACTTATCGCGAACTCGTTGCCAACCAACTTACATTACATGCTAATTTAGCAAAGAGCTATGTCGGCATAGCCGTGTGCTTTACCAGATATAATTTATTTGATATTGTCATTGACTGGCTGTTGTTTGACACCCCCGGTGTGGCTGCGCTTGATGTGCATGTTGACAAGGTGCCTACCTGTCTATTACCCACTACCTCGTTCATACTGGCTGCAGGAGACAGTTGGTCGTTGCTGGAGGGGACGGGGTGCACGATCCTTGTGGCCATGCTAGGCTCGAAGAGTGGTTCCATGCAGTCAGTGTGGAGCGGACTACGGTCCAGCCATTGTCTTGTGTGCGCTTGATTCCCCAAATACAGCGTGCTTATGTTTGCCTGTGAAGGAGTGTGGGCCGGCTTCTTTGATGAAACGTGGCTGCCGTCCACATGCCTCCCGGTCTTATTCCTTCGGGTCTACACTGGATATGGGGTGTGTGGTTGGAGGTGTGGGTGGTGCAGCGCAAGCCATCCATGGTCCCTCTGTAGGCGCAAGCAAATCCGAATCCCGGATGCCACACACCATGAGACATGTATCTTACCTCTTCTCATAACATTGCACATTTGGGTTGCCGATTGTTTCATTAACATGCTTACTTCACGTCGATTTGGCTCCATTGGTGCTGCATGATTTTTATTCTCTAATCTAAACTCAATCTGAAAACATTTTTTCCACACAGGCTTACGTTTCACTTAAACGAATTTCCGCCTTTCTTACCTGCCATGAAGTGGACAGGAACCCTATCGACCAGTGTGAAAACAACGGTTAGTTCTAATCAAATGACATTTTCCCTTGCCGACCGGTTGCTGGTTCGAAATCTTATGTTTTTCTTCAAACATGCCCCTTCCTGTATTTTCAGCCTATATCCATTTTTGGATGAGATCACCTTAAGCACCGTTCAATATGACTGCTGTGAATATTGCGTCAGATGGAGAAATGCTTTTTTTTGCTTGTCCGTTTTGTCACCTCGTGCTTCATGTTAAGCGATCTGCGCACCAAAGCGACGTCACCTTCATCCGTGCATTTTCTCGCTTGGCCCATACAATTTGCACTGCTTTTTGTGCACTTTCGAACAGTTCACACTTTACGATCTCCATTCTGTTTTAACTTATTAAGCCCACTTCTCTCTCTAGTTAACAGAGTGTCCGCTTCGGTTTGTCGACTGGTTTTCTGGCAACCGCCACTGCACCTTTCACAACTGTAGTGAGGCCAAATTTACCACCATCGTTTTTCTATTGCAAACTTGAACTTAGTGCGTATGTGGCTGACAGTTCGCTCCAGTCAATCTCGGTGGAGTGTTTCATTGGTGCTTTCAGCCACTAGCTCCACCCTATTTAATTAGCACTCACAGGATGAAAATAAACTGTGAAGGAACTGCAATTAAAGCAACTATATTGACTACTGTTAGGTCGTGGGGCTGCTTCGCAGCCATCGCATCGGTTGCATGTACATCATGTAAATCCTATGGAATCAGATTTGTGCATATGTGGACCACTTGTGCTATGACAGTTAACCTGTATGACTTGACCATGTGGAGTTTTACTGTGCACTGTTCGCAAGACTACTCGTTTTTCAAAGTATCATATGTACTGGGTGGCGCACAAAATCCCATACCATTTGTTATGTTCATTACACATGTAATATTATAGATGTAATGTTGAAAACTCGTTTTCGTACACTTTGGTTTATGTAACATCCGGTAGATGTCACGATAGATTTGTATGTAATATTTTCTTGGCTCGAAACACAATTTTCTAGGTGTCCCGTCAGAGTAGATTGAGTGTTGAACAGAAGGTGGAGTTTGTAATGTTTTTATAGAAACGAGGAGTATCCTAGCGACAAAAAGACGTTTTCGTGCACGCTTTCATACAAAATGGGCTCCATATAACTAGACTAATCAACAACTGTATCGTCAATTTGAAACAACTGGCTCTCTGGTGGAGAAGAATCGACGGCACACATCAAGTGTCCGTACCCTGTAAACTTGTAAGATTTTGTGAAGCAATGAGGTGATCACATTGGACTAAATTTCCATGCTTACACGATCAATTCTGCATTAATTTTGTAATATTTAGATGATAAATGCATGTGTAATGAACACAACAAATGGTGTGACATTTCATGCGCCACCCTGTATGTAGCGGGATTTTGCAATACGTAAACTTCTCTTGACTCCAAATCACAGCACTTTACGGTTCTGTGGGCGTTTAACGATACAGCAAGTTCCCTCTTTGTGTGTTTGTGTGTATGTTGTCCACCCTGTACAATGTCTTCGCCGATCCGCCTCCACGTATTCACCTTGACCGTTTTGTGTGAACTCTTCTCAGTTGTCTACACATACATACGTGTTCCATCTACCTGATAAAACTGGTTTACCCACCTCACGGGTTTCAGTCAGGATTCTGAGTGCCCGTCTAGTTGTGAATTAATCCGCACTAGTATATCCTGTTCATTTTCGTTTTTGGTATTAACACGAATCGGGTAAAGACCCGTGTTTTTCCAGAAACATTCACTTAAATGTGGAAATTATATATTGCTTTTTGATTTATTGTAATACTGTATCTCGTGCATTAGACCAATGCAAATGCAAGTTTTCGAAGAGTACTCTTTTCGACAAACCTCCTCAGGGATCTACATTTATAAAATGGAAGGTCATTGCACAAAGAGCTGACGAAGCCAAAGAGGGGGTAGTAGTGGAATCAGGATAGGCAGAAACTCAAAAGTTTTGATCGATAAAGTCGACTACCTACACATGTGACAAAGCACGTGTTGGTTGATCGGCGGAATGCCAGGCGCATCATCCGATCGCTGTCAGCGCACGAAGTGACAGAAGTTTGCAAGCTAATTAGGGTCAAAGTAGAAGAAGCCCATGCAGCAAAGCCTTCTGTTTGCATGATTCCGGTTGTTATCCTAATCGCGATTGTTTCAGCCGTCCGTAAGATTTGCTCCCTAATAAGGCCATTAGGGTACCGTTTTTGTACTACTTAAAGGACTTTGAAGGCATCAGCGGTCCTAACTTGGTGTCGGCTTTCCATCAGTTGTTCCAGGATGGAACTGTTGATGCAACTGACGATGCCTTTCCGCAAAGCCGCTGGGCCGTGCTCCGTTATGCGTTTAGACCAGACTTTCTCAACGGAGGCCATATAGGCGGTCGTGGAGAATTCCCGGAGGTCCTGGGATGAGAAGCATTTTAGGGGGACCATAGTGGGCCGTGCTGTGAAAAATGAGTCGTGATACCACAAATGACAAAATTTATATAAAAACTTCCTGACAGTTTCCCTCCGTGCACTAATCTCCCTTGGTAACTACAGGTCAGTGAAAGGAATTAGGCGCGCAAGTAACTGTTTACGAAGGTGTGAAAGTCAGGATGAACAAACTTGCTGTTGCGGAGCTGGCATAGGTTCTTCAAACTTGCGCAGATTTCGATGCGCTCACCACAAACATGCGATCACCACACGGCGACTTAGACTGGGAAACTAACAGCTGATTCGTCCTCAGCAGTTTGATGCCTATTCACAGTGAATCAACTGAGCTTTACTCAGGACACGGATGCATCTATTGTGCAAGCTGTAATCAATCTAACGAACTCTCGTCCGCACACTGCGGCAGTTAAGGCACAAAGGCATACTGACACTAAGCGAGTTTTCCTCAGGACACTGCCACCGTGACAACTCACTTGCCAGTCAGTCTTTCCGGTTCGGGTCTCATCGCGGTAGTGCTAGGTCACGCGTTTTTCGTCTCCAGTCTCAGCTGGCAGTGTTCCACCAGTCAGTATTTCTAATGGTTATAAGGAAGAGGCATTATAAAATTATTGGTGTGAACACACCTTTAACTGACATGTATAAGGGTGGAACACTACCGCCTAAGCTCGCATGTTCGTCTGGCGGCTAAGGCACGTTAGCCCGCAAGATTCCGAATTCAAATGGCTATCGTTCGCGCATGAAGACATCCGGTTGCTTTGGTGAGTATACATAACATAATGTGTACATAAGGATACTTCTTATACTAATACTAATCAAATGCCTCAGCAGCACGCATTTGGCGCCATGTTTGGCAATAGCTGATGTATGTTATTCACTTCATTATTGACTTTCCCATGTAGGTTCTTAAACTAGCTGGTATTTTCATCCGTGGTTGTCTCTTCTGTCTTTCAATTTACCTGTTACCACTGTTTGCTACAACTTTCCCGTAATGTATGTGGGTCTAGTGAGTATTGTCATTTTCTGAATTCCATTTGTTTTCATCATCGGCTACTGTCAAGAAGTTTTCTTCCGTCATTTTACCCATCCACGGTATTTTCAAAGCCATCCTTAGAAACCACCTTTGGGTGGCCTTTTACAGTGTTTCTACACTTATCCATTAAAACATTGCAGTCACCAAGATGTTACAAGTATACTTGCCATACGTTTTTTCTTATAATCTCACGGTCAAGCAAGAAATTCAGGATCATCAAGTATTCACACTAACTGCGTGTTTCGCATTGTTAAATGATGCTGTTTAATAACCATGATACAAACGTGTAAGAAAACGAAAGCAAAAGCAGCATATATATATATATATATATATATATATATATATATATGGTAACAATTTCCAATTACATATTTCAGAAATGAGCTCCTCGGCAAAGAAAGGTAGGTAATGCTCCGTAGAATACCAGTCATTTGGATTTATCACATCACTACAAAACCCCACTCAACCTGTGTCTAATTTGCCAAAACACTGACGTGAAAGTATGCGATCACATAAGCTGAAAAATCATTTGGATAGTGTCGATAAGGGCGAAAGCGGAAAGTCAGTGGATTTTATTTGAAAGCTGCGGGATAACTTCGAAAAGATACCAACTTTAGATAATAGTTTCTGACAGGGCAAAAAAGGCAAATGGGCTTACGGCGTCCTATCAAATCAGCAAACTGATTGCTAGAAATTGTAGTCAACATAGTGTTGGAGAAAATATTATCTTGCCTTCAGTATCAATAATACTGGCGGATCAGATGTATATGAATCCACAAGAAGCAGTTTAAGCTATTCTGCGCAACAACTCAACTATATCTAGGCGAATAGTTGAGATGGCTCAGGACAGAGAAAGTACCTTAGTTACCTTACTACAGACGAGAAAACTTTCGTTACGAGTAGAGAAATCTACTAACGACGCTCTTCTGGCGGAAAATGTCCGATCGTCAATGATAATGACGTAATGTTGCTTGCGAGGATATATAAAACTCATAGGAAGGGCCAGTCTATATTCGCGGTAGTCGATGGTGATCTGACTGAAAACTCTACTACAATGCAAAAGATAGTTGCACGGGCAACAGGTGGTGCTACCGCAATGATCGGAAGGTAGAGAAAATTAATTGCCAATCTAGTGGTCTCTCTTCTGTTCATACAATTCATTGTGCAATGCAATGAGAACACCTAGTGGCTAAGAACGCGGGAGGGTGGTAAAATGATTCACTATCAATATAACATCAGTATAACATCAGCTAACAATATCGATCTGCACCCATCTCAAGATCGTCTTTCCAGCAATTATATGGGGAGAACAGTGAAGATTTCTAGGTTCGACTTTGAATAAGTTAGATGACACTAAGGAGCAAGTGTAATCGCCGTTTTATTGCATTTTGGGACACAGTCATCACATTCCTTTCTGGGACTGATTATGAAAGAAAACGGTTAGTAGCTAAGTCAGATGTGTTTAGCTGGCTGATGATTTTGTAAAACTCTACTTATGCAATAAAGCTCATCAACGCAGGATGAATAATCT